ATTTTTAAAATTAAAAATTAACATTCACCTAAATTTAATTTGTCCATACTCGTTTTCTGATAGAAGAATGTAGTTAAAGTGTCAAAATCAAACTCATAAATCGTATTTTATTTGATGCTCAATGACGCCAGGCGCGGCAGTAACAGTCTGAGTTTTTCATTTTAGACTTCGCCCTCTCAGAGTTCCTTCCTCTCGAAGACTTCTAAATAAAAAAGTAGAAATGATGTGATCGTGAGATGATTGCGCAATTCTTTAGAAGAAATTAAGAAACCGACAGTTTTTAAGTTTACGATAACTCATTTAAAATAACAGTGGCGTGAAAAACCCATTCAGCGAGTGTTTCCTGCAGGGTGCCAGTGGCGAACTGTCCCAGGCACTGCTCAAAACTTTTATGATAGACTGGCGTTCTAATCAATGATTCCTTTAGTGAGAATCCAAGAAAGTACTTAGTAGATAAAGAAGCAAAAATTAAAAAAAAATAAAAAGGAAGAAGCAAGCATCTTCGCTTCTTTCCAGGATAAAAAGTAAAAATTAGAGCTGAGATATGAACAAGTGGATGCCCAGTGTGTCTGTTTAATTTTATTTAATAGTAATAAGTGATTTACAGTCAAGAATAAAATGAAGCTGTGGCTTTTTCCTTTTTTTAAACATGAAAAATTTTAAGAATTAGGGACAATTTAGTTAATATTATAGCACAGATAAAACTCTACATTTATCGAGAATTGGATGTACCTTTAACCAGGTAAAGCTGCAGATGCGTGCTGGATATGTTGTTTAACCCTTTTTCAGTATTACGTTCAACCGGTCTTTTCACATACCTTACAAACGTAATTTTCTCTCAAAAAGTCGGCATCCGTCCATCTCCTTCTCCCACCCACAGCCCTCTCTCTCTCGCATCCTCTGATATATAAATAAAATAAAATAAAAAAATTATTTCGTGAAATTAGACGGAAATAGCCAATTGGTAAGAGACAGCATATCTTTTCTTTTTCTCTATAATTTGCAGGGTGAATAATTGCAGGCGATGGGGTCTTTAATAATTGTTTTTCGTTTCCTTACAGATGGAACCTCCAATTCCAAATAAAAAGAAGAGTATTTTACGGTAAGGTTATTCGTTTTGCACCATAAATAATTAATATTATAGTTTTAAAAATGGAAATGAGGGCTGAGACTTGAACATGGCCATGCCCAGTGTGCTTTCTTTCTTTTTTTCCTTTTTTTATTTTTAACAAACACAACTTTGAAGAATAGAAAAGGATTTAAATTCAATTTAATAAGGTTGAAAAATACATCTTCAACTAAACCGCTTATAAGGTCAAGTACAGTCCAGCGTGCCTGTTTAATTTTATTTAACATAGTTAGAATAAAATATAGTACTGGATATATATATATATATTTTAACAAAATAAATTTTAAAAATATAAAATAATTTACACCTAAACCTCTAAATCTGATAATTATAAATTAATTTTTAAAATACATCTCTTAATTGAAGAACTGAATATTCGAGTTTTTCAACCCTAAATCATAAACCTATCTTAAAAAAATAATAATAATTTAATTATTATTGCGGCAGATAAACCTCCACGGCTCCACATTGGTCAACAATTGGATGCGCCTTAACCCTTAAGGAACCGCCAAAGCCGCCGATGCGTATTGGATATGCTATTAACTTTTTATCCAGTATCACATTCTGCCGGTCTTTTACATATACCTTACAAACCTAATTTTCTCTCAAAAAGTCGGCATCCGTTCATCTCCTTCTTACACCCACACCCCTCTCTCTTTCGCATCCTCTCCTTATGTTATTCTTCCATCTCTGTACCTAGTTTCGAGCAAATATCTCTTCAATTGCATTTAGCTTCTGGGCATTGAGAAGTCAGCAAAAAGCCAGGGTACGCTTCTTTATCTTATCCCCAGCTATAAATAGCTACACTAATTATTTTTACTGAAATTTCATTTTCCTGTGTCTTCTTTGCCGCCTTGCGATCTTTTGATGGATATACAGAGGAAATTGGGGAATTCACAATGGTTGCTAAAAAGGGAAACTAAAGGGGAAAAAAATGAGAGAAGAAGAGGAAGAAGCAAGCATCTTCGCTTCTTTCCAGGATAAAAAATTAAAAATTAGAGCTGAGATATGAATATGGGGACTGCCTAGTGTGCCTGTTTAATTTTATTTAATAATAACAACTGATTTACAGTTCAGAATAAAATGTAGTATTCTTATGTTACTTTTGCACATCTGTACTTGATTTCCAGGAAATATCTCTCCAACCGCTTTCAGCTTTTGGGCTTTGAGAAGTCCGCTAAAAGCCAGGTTACGCTTCTTAATCCCCATCTATAAATAGCTACGCTAATTATTTTTACTCAAATTTCATTTTACCATATATCTTCTTTGCCGCCTTGCGATCTTTATTATGTTTTATGTAATTC